GACACAGCATATAATTAATGTGCATAGCACCTGATAAAAATCTTAATTGAATCCCAAACCAAGAAAGTAGCATTTCCAGGTGCCTCTGTTGTTTGATATATACAGGCCACAAGGAATTAGCATTTCCTCTTTTAAGCCATTAAACTCTATGTGATTCATGCACTGCACAGAAACAGCAAAGTCACTAAGTAGTCTGCTGGCTTGAAAGATAGAGGCCACTGAGAGTCTCCGGAAATCGGGACTGTTCTGAGTTTGCAATCCCCAGGTGACTCCTGAAGTGATTTAAGTTTCCAGGAAAAATAGTTGACGTACCAGAAATGTATGAGTTTTGTTTGTTTTTAAAGAGCTACCACTGATTTAAAAGGTCTTCTCCCTGTGGGATCTCCCCTTTCTGGGACTTGTGTGCTGGGTGGATGCACACTATCATGCCGGTCTCTCTCTATTCTCTGTCTCCCACAGCCCTTTCCTTTCTGTGAGGAGGAGAGCTGTTGTAAATCCAACTTCATTTCGTTGAGCATTCAACCATGAGAAAAATGTAATAATAAAGTTTATTCTCCTTGCTATTCTCCAATATGATGCAAATTATCTGACCTTTCAGATAATTATGCAGTGAAACATAACACTACTCGCTTAAAGAATACAGTAAATTTATTAGCTCCTGTAACAGGCAGACTTTTCTTCTTTCAATCCATTCATCCTGGACCTCTGCCCTATGTCAGCAGCAATGGTTGTGGGCTAGGGAATGCCATGTCCTGACTGGCTTCGATCCGACTGGCAAGGCAGTGATTTTAAACTGGGAAAGAGGGGCGCCTGGGTGGCGCAGTCGGTTAAGTGTCCGACTTCAGCCAGGTCACGATCTCGCGGTCTGTGAGTTCGAGCCCCGCGTCAGGCTCTGGGCTGATGGCTTGGAGCCTGGAGCCTGTTTCCGATTCTGTGTCTCCCTCTCTCTCTGCCCCTCCCCCGTTCATGCTCTGTCTCTCTCTGTCCCAAAAATAAATAAAAAACGTTGAAAAAAAAAAAAAACTGGGGAAGAGCCACCGTGTGCGGGTGATAGCAGTGGAGCAGGGGATAGAAATGACTTTTCCTGAAGGATGGGTGGCCTAATAAAATGGTGGACACCTCAACAGGAAAGTGTCATTCTATTAGTGGAGATATATGCAGCTAACAAATACCCATTACATGAAGCATAATGAATGTAAAGGAAATGGAAGGGGAACAAAGGATTAAGTAAAGGAGTTGCTGGAAGATTCTTTAGGAAAAAGAAAGAAGCATATGTCGTGGCAACAGAGCTTCTAGAAGAAAAAAAACGGAAGACAAAAGAAACTGAAGGAAGAAAAGCAAAGAAAGATTTAATTGGGAAAGAGTTTCAGTTTGAGGGGGAACAAGGAATTATCCTAGGACATTTATTTCTTACCTGTTTTTAGTGAAGGATTTCCAACTTTTGATGTGTTTTGTTTACCTCCTCCTCTCTTAATGAAGCACTTAAAAAATAAAGTTTTGCTAGTGATTGCTATGGCCAGGACTTATTCTCAATTTTAGGGTGACTATAGCTGATAGAATCAGTACTGGGTGTCTCCTTGATTATAGACTGGCACGTTATACTGCTGCAACCCCTTTCCTTCTGTCTGTTGACTGTTTTGCCATAGCCACTGTTGATTAACCACTGGTCATGTCCAGCTAAAGTTCTGGAAGGTTTACCAGAATGAAGAAATATAGCAACTGGACAGATTTTTTTTTTTTTTTTAATATGCAACCAAGCAGAATAAACAAAGTTTGCCTCTCTTTTTAAAGAAGGAAATGTTTGTCATACCAGGTTTCTAGGGCTGGGAGGCTACTGTCTTCATCATGGACTTCAGTGTTACTGAGGAGAAATTAATTAGCCTCCCTAGCTGGTGGATGAGACAGTGGAATATGATCACCACTCAGTCTACAGTCCCAACTGACAGACCCTTAACAATGAATAATACGATCTCTTCCAGCATTTACTTGTTACTTAACATTTAGCAGATCTTGATTAAAGTGGCCTCTTTGGTTACAAAAGTTTTAATGACATTCTCTCACTTCATGCATCTGTTTTCCCATATTTCTACTTGGATCCTTCATAAACGAAGAAGAGGGAACTTTCCGCTTACTCATAATAGTCCATTCCAACTGCTGAAGAGATCCAGGCTTCTAATAACTAACGGATGAACCTAAGAGATTTGAGAAAACAATAAACAACTGTGCAGGCTGCTGAGGGAAGTATTTCTGATTCTTGGCAACTTTAAATAAGTGAATAGGCAACCACAGCAGGTCTCCCCAGTAAACAAACAGCTCAGGCAGCAATCTGGTGATGTCATTTGAATAGCAATAAACTATCTTTCTACCCCCAAGCTTTCTTCCTTTTTGGCTTCCCTCTGCACTGATCAGGGTCTGGGGTACAGAGTGAAGGCCTTTATGAAATAAAAATATTCTATACCTCTTTAGTTACACCCTGCAACTTCCACAAGGCCTTTATTAGAAAGACTCACTTTCAGGGGCACCTGGGTGGCTCAGGCGTTAAGCATCCGACTTTGGCTCAGGTCACGATCTCATGGTTTGTGAGTTTGGGTCCCACATCAGGTGAGCTCGTGCCCCACTTTGGGTGAGCCCTGCTTTTCTGTCTCTCTCCCTCTTTCTTTCTGTCTCTCTCTGTCTCTGCCCCTCCTCGGCTTCTCTCTCTGATGCTCTCTCACTTGCGCTCTCTCTCTTTCGGAAGAAAGAAAGACAGAAAAAGAAAGACTCAACTTCACACAAAGGGGGTGAAAATACACTTGGAACTCAGAGGATGGTGTGCACCTTTTCCTTAGTATGAAATCTTTACCTAGAAGCCTCTCTGTTTTTATGGATCACCACTAAGCATTTCATTGATCTCTGATGGTCTCTGAGAAAGACCTTTTTCTTTCTGTCTCTTTTCTCCCTCTCTACGAACTTGGATCCTCCCCATTAATACTTTGGGTCGAAGGTCAAGGAGACCCTACAGGTCTGTGACTGGGAATTGTAGACTTGTGCTATATATTAGAGTAGCCACTAGCCACATATGGCTACTGAACACTTAAAATGTGACTAGTGTGACTGAGGAAATGAATTTTTAAATTTAATTTAATTTTAGTTCATTTTAATTAAAAAAAAAATTGAAGCTATTAAACACAATTTTACTGTTTTGGTAGGACTACATTTCACTGTAAGCTTTGAAAATTTACCATTGAATTGAGATGTGCTAAAAGTGTAAAATATAGAGTTCAAAGACACTTTTTAAAAGGATGTAAGTAGTCTCAATAATTTTTTTTAAATTTTTTTTAATGTTTTATTTATTTTTGAGACAGAGAGAGAGCATGAATGGGGGAGGGTCAGAGAGAGAGGGAGACACAGGATCTGAAACAGGCTCCAGGCTCTGAGCGGTCAGCCCAGAGCCCGACGCGGGGCTCGAACCCACGGACCGCGAGATCATGACCTGAGCCGAAGTCGGACGCTTAACCGACTGAGCCACCCAGGCGCCCCATCAATACTTTTTATATTGACTGTTGAAATAATATTTTGGATAATTAGTCTAAAAAAAGTATATTATTAAAATTAGTGTTCCCTGCTCCTTTTCACTTTTTGAATGTGGCTATTCGAAAATGTATCTATGTGGCTCTAATTCTCATGAATGGCATTTTTTCGATTCTCCCATTCTTCAGGATGGAGTTCTTACTGAATACAGTGGTCTCTCCCCACCTGTGGTTTTGCTTTCATCAGTCAACCTCAGTCCGGAAGCAGATGATACCTCTTTTGAGCTCTGGTCAGAGACCCATAGTAGCCTAACACCAGGTCCCAATGCCTGCATCTCATCACATAGGCATTTTATCATCTCACGGCATCACAGGAGGAAGGGTGAGTACAGCACACTAAGATATTTTGAGAAAGAGAAAGCCCACATTTGCACAACTTTTATTATAGTACATTGTTATCATTGTTTTATCATTATTGTTATAAATATCTTACTGTGCCTAATTTATATATTAAACTTTATCACAGATATGTATATATATATAGGGCTCAGTACTATCAGTGGCTTCAGGCATCCATTGGGGTCTTGGAACATATCCCCTGGGAATAAGGTGGAGGGGACTACTGAACAGTCTTTTCTCTTGGTGATATAGGTCACTGCTTATACCATAAAGTCAATCCGAAAGGCTGGTCTCCCTCTCTAAGGTAAGGGAAAACAAAGAACGGAGAACAAAACTCATCCTGAAACCATCACCCGTTCTAACACTCAGCATCGGAGTATCAGAATCAGCTGTCTTCAGGTGGGCGGGTAATGAAGACAGCGGCCCCAGGGAGTTTGGATGGCTGGGTTGGGAGAGAAAGGAGAGGGAAGTGTAGACAAGAGAATACTGCAGAGCATGGAAGTGTACTTGAGTGCTGATTGAAGAGAGAGGCCCTTAGACATGGGGACTTTGGGTTCCTGGAGAGGTGAGTGTACTATAAAGGAGAAAGAGGAAACTGAACAGAAGATGGAAACATCCCCAAAAGAAGTTTGGGGATGGATTGCAAACATTCTTCTGGAGGCATCAGTTTAAAATACGTGGCACTGTGATATCCCTTCTGATGTCAGGTAATATTCTTCCAGATTCTATTCCTGGTCGTCCGTGGAACTTGTTTGAAGTTCCTTCCATGGTTGCTACAGCTGCCCCAGGGACTCTATTTGATCCTAATACCCACTTCAATGTCCTTTTGATCAGACGAGATCGGGCGCGTTCAGGGTGGTATGGCCGTAGACATTCAATGTCCTTTTGAAGAGACAGCTGGGTAGGCAGGGAACAAAGAAATTCCTCATCGTCTTCTAACGTCCAAAAATGTGGAATTTCAGTGGTTCTTTTAAAAATATTTCTTTCTTTAAGCTTATTGTTATTTTTTAAATTTATTTTGAGAGAGAGATAGAGAGCGAGGGGGACAGTGGCAGAGAAAGAGGGAGACAGAATCCCAAGCAGGCCCCGTGCTGTCAGCTCAAACTCAGACACCGTGAGACCTGAGCCGAAATCTAGAGTCAGATGCTTAACCGACTGAGCCACTCAGGGGCCCTACAGTGGTTCTTGATGCCATTCAAACTCATTTATATAATTTAAGATATGTATCATGTCCAACCGTGCCATTTTACAGATGAGAGAGAGTGTGCCTGAGAGACTATGTGCCTTTCCCAAGATCAGCCACTAATTAGGATCACCTGAATCCACTAGAAAGCGACTAGTGTCTTCAGGCTGGAGGGATAGTGTCTTCAGGCTCCCAAGTCCAACTGAAGTCTACCACTCTCATATCACACCAGTTTTAACTGATGGGCCCATACTAATTATAGCTTACTTGTAATTTCAGTTCTCTGAAGATCCCACTAGATCCCAGACCGCCATATAGGCTACCTGTATGCTGATGGTCTGGTAACGATTATTGTGTCCAGTACATTTTGAATGTTAAACATGTTCTGGGCACAAAGTATGCTTTGTAAGGTGTTTAGGGGATAAAAATGACAGCAAAATTTCTAACTTAATAAGCTTTGGGGTAAGAAAGTACTTTCAAAAAAACATTATTGACCTCTCATTTTAGAGATTTTCTGGCTTGACCATTGGCAATATTTCATGAGAAAAGGAAGAAATGTGGTTAATACTATCTAAAAATTAAGTTAATTAAAATTAAATGCTATTTAAAAATATTTTAAAATTAACGTCCAAATAAACAGCTTGCCTTGGTATTTATAAATCAAGAGAGAGCAACTTTGGGAGGCTAAAGTGATTAACAAGCCAATATATGAGAGAAATCGTATCCATAGTTTCTCAAAAAGATGGAAAGGTATTATAAATGGCACTGTTTCTATACAGTATCTAGAAATTATCTCTATATAGTGAACTCTATATTGTATCATTTCATCTATTTTCCAATGAGAATGGGTAGATATACTAACTGAGTAGCTGGTTGTGATTTTTTTTCATTGCCATAAGTAAATGAAATCAATAGACTCTGTTAGGATGAACTATATGATATGTGAAATTCATGTATCCCATCTTATGAAGAGTTATTTGTAGATGTAATCTTATGGACATAGGATTAAAAATGTGTGATTTATAAACAAAGAAAGAAAACAGCTTTAACTCCTAGTGCTCTGCACTTCAAATTTCTCATGGATATAGAAGGCTTTTAAATCCCATGCTATTATTAAACAATTCAAAATTTCTATGGCTACGTATGTTTAGATAATATGAACTCCTCAAATGGCCACCCTGTGGCGTTTTGCATGCAATTCTTCATTTTTTCCGTCTGTATTTTTTCTCATCTAGCTTTTTCAGAAATGTTATTCCTATTTCTGTCACACGGTCGCCTTTCAGTGTGTCTTGCAAGAATGTAACATCAGCAGCCAAATGAACCTAGGAAAGAGAAAAAAAACAAAACAAAACAGGCACGCATCATTTAGGTTTAAAAAATTAAAAAAACTCTCTCTATTTTTTTTTCAGCTTTATATAACCAATAAGGGGCTCACTTTCCTTACGGAATGATAAAAAAAGAGTTTGCTCCATGGATGAAGGGCCCTTTACTGTGTGTCCTCCAGAGATGATCTGGCTGTGGGTCAGCTCTGTGGTGTGAGCCTGCAGAGAGAAGGGTGGTCCAGGCCACGCCCAACCTGGGGGATTCCAGGGCAAGTCAAGAGACATGGGCCCACTTTTGCTCACAGTGCAGAGCTCATCTATAGCCTTGACCCAAGAACTTCCAAGGATAAATGGATTCTTAAATGATTTCTTTCCAACGAACTTGCTATCAATCATTCTGTCATCGACCAAATAGCATCACTTGTGCTAACAACATGTAGCAATCACGACTTTGAGAGCTTTGAAAAAGTATCAACTAAATAAATTATAAATATAAAATTAAAGATTGAAATTACAGACATGAATATTTGATATCCAGCCCTTCTTTTCTACCATAAAGAATTTCCCACTTTCCATACATTGAAGTGATCCCACAGGGCTTACTTGTCTATTCATTAAAATGTATTCACATAAGAGCATCATATTGCTGACCGACTACCCTTGACAGAGTATCTGTTCAGCTATTTTAAGTCCTTGTGATAAATAAGATAAAAGCAAAAGTACTTGGCAAAACAAATAATAAGTGAAAAAGCCTGGGTCTAGTAGGCAATTGAAATATAGAAGCTATGTTCACCCTCATTTTCCCCCAATAAGATCTTTTTTGTCTTTGTCAAAATTTGTCAGAAGGTCAATTAAAATGAGCAAGGAGGCTACGTTGAAGCTATTTGGATACCTGAGGCCACATAAGGCCTGATAGCTATTTGTCAAATAGCATATAGAATCAAATGTTGTCCATGAAAACTGGAGAATTATTTATCTTATTTTTGCCTTTGTTTTATGGTTCCTCCCTTTGTCTGTAAGCTCCCAGAACATCTCCCTTCCTCTTTCTTAATTTCTTGATTATAGGGCAAGCCTAAAAAATTGGTAGGACAGAGCATGGAAGGTCTGTGTGAATAATACATTATGGCTATTGTTTTATTCTTTTGGATTACCTGTTATTATATCCTTCCTCTAATTATCACAGATAATTGAAAATTATATGCATGCCTCATTATCATGTCTAATCTTTGGCTACTCTCTGGTCCCACCACTTTTAAAAGCTCAGCTTCTGGAAAAACTAGACTTTGTGGACTGTTACCTCTTTCTAAGTTGCCCTTGATCAAGAGTTTTTGACAGATTGTCTTCTTCCTTCAGGTTCTCATCCCACTAAGGTCCTTCCTGACCTTTTCCTTCCTACATGTTGTGAATATTTTTCAGGTCTTGTTTTACTTAGCATCTCTGCTGTCCTTGATCTTGGGAATCACTCCCTCTTCTTCTTCTTTTTTTAAATTTATATCCACGTTAGTTAACATACAGTGTAGTCTTGGCTTCAGGAATAGAACCCAGTGATTCATCTCTTACACATGACACCCAGTGCTCATCCTGAAAAGTGCCCTCATTAATGCCTGTCACCATTTAACCCCTCACACCCCCCAGCAAACCTCAGTTTGTTCTCTGTATTGCTCTCTCTCTCTGTTTTTATCTTATTTTTCCTTCCCTTCCCCTATGTTAACTGTTGAGTTTCTCAAATTCCACATACAAGTGAAATCATATGATATTTCTCTTTCTCTGACTGACTTATCCACTTAGCATAATACACTCTAGTTCCATCCACATTGTTGCAAATGGCAAGATTTCATGCTTTCTCATCACTGAGTAGTATTCCATTTTATATATATATATATATATATATATATATATATATATATATATATACCACATCTTCTTTATCCATTCATCAGTTGATGGACATTTGGGCTCTTTCCATACTTTGGCTATTGTTGATTGTTCTGCTATAAACATTAGGGTGTGCATGCCCCTTCAAATCAGCATTTTTGTATCCTTTGGATAAATTCCTAGTAATGCAATTTTGGGGTTGTAGTGTAGTTCTATTTTTAACTTTTCGAGGAACCTCTTGAAATACTCTCTTCCTTTGTTTCTGACTCCATTCTTTCCCTGTATTTTCCCACTTCTGTTTATTCCTTCTTGGTATCCTTTGCAGTCTTTGTATTCTCTCTTCAACTTACTCATTATGTTTTATTGCTTCCTACGGTTCCACCTGTGACTTCTTTTCCTTCTTACTCTACACACTTCCTAGGCATCCTTTGACAGTTCCAATGACTCTCCAGCCCACATCTGTGGCTTCCAGACATGTAAAACAACTGCTTATTGAATATCATCACTTGTTTGTATGTTAGACACCTCAATTCTAGAATCTTCCAAGCTGAACTCCTCACTTTATCTTTCCCAACCCCCAGTGTACCCCTCCTTGTTTTGCTCTCTTGGTTAACAGTACAACCATCTTACAGGTTACTCAGAACCTTAAATAATTCCTGAATCTTTTTCCCAATCTTATCTCTTTCAGTCAACTAATAGCCTAGTTTTAAGTTTAATTAGTTAGTAATCTGCCTTATTAATGTTCACATCGATCTCCTCTCCACTCCTATTGTCAAGGCTTTATTCTGGTTTTTCTTGAGGTTACCATCATCAGCTTCCTAACTGCCCTCTTCTTCCCTCCAGCATTGTACCCTCCTCCTGTATACTTTCACTTTGTTGACAAAGGGATAAAATTCCTAAAACACAAATTTCAAAATACCATTCCCTTCTTTGTAAACCTATAATGGGTCTCTGCTGCTTTCAATATAACAATCTTTAGATTGTTCCCAAGGTTGTCATATGAATGTGCCCCACCACTTTTTAAAAATCAGGCCTCGGGGCGCCTGGGTGGTGCAGTCGGTTAGGCGTCCGACTTCAGCCAGGTCACGATCTCGCGGTCCATGAGTTTGAGCCCCGCGTCGGGCTCTGGGCTGATGGCTCAGAGCCTGGAGCCTGTTTCCGATTCTGTGTCTCCCTCTCTCTCTACCCGTCCCCCGTTCATGCTCTGTCTCTCTCTGTCCCAAAAATAAATAAAAAACGTTGAAAAAAAATTAAAAATCAGGCCTCTATTGAGGAGGGCACCTGTTGGGATGAGCACTGGGTGTTGTATGGAAACCAATTTGACAATAAATTATATTTAATATAAAAAATAAAATAAAGTAAAATAAAATAAAATAAAAAATAAAAATCAAGCCTCTGTAAAGAATTGAAACCTTACTCGAGACAATATCTCAATCTACATGTCACCGCTATGGAATTAATTCAAGTTTCTCATTCCTTGAATGAAACATTCTTTTTGTGTCTTTGGACATGCTATTCCTTTTACCTGGAACATTATTTTCCCCTGCTTCCCTTACCCCATGGCCTTCACCTTCTATTTATCCTAGTTTCTCTAGGAAGTTATCTCTGCCCTACCAACCACCCCAACCCAGGTCCTCCCCTAGCCATTTATCCACACTTTTTTACACATCTATCTGACTTCTCTACTGGACAGAAACTTTTATTATTATTATTATTATTTTTTAATGTTCATTTATTCTTGAGAGAGAGAGAGAGACACAGCATGAGCAGGGGAAGGGCAGAGTGAGAGAGGGAGACACAGAATCTGAAGTAGGCTCCAGGCTCTGAGCTGTCAGCACAGAGCCCGATGCGGGGCTCGAACTCACAGACCGCGAGATCATGACCTGAGCCGAAGTCGGACACTCAACCAACTGAGCCACCCAGGTGCCCCTGTACTAGACAGAAACTCTTGAAGGGCAGCAACTATGTCTTATTCACCTTGTACACTCAATGCCTTTTTTTTTTTTTTTTGAATAATTATCTGGACTTAGATTTGTTTGGAAGCACAATTATTTACTTACTTTTCCACACAAATTAAATTCACTAGAAAATTGCTGTCAGTGCTACTTTTTTTTTGATAATGCAATTCCTACATTTCAAACTATTTTTCAGGCCTTTTTAAGTCTCTTATTTCTTTTCTCTCTTCATTAATTTTTATTTTTAAAATATCTTTTTTTTTTTATAATTTGTTGTCAAACTGGCTAACATACAGTGTGCTCTTGGTTTTTGTATGTAAGCAATGAATCACGGGAATCTACTACCCAAACCAAGAGCGCAGTGCCTTTTCACAGATGTGAATCACCTCACCGTCTTTGTTCAGTCAATGAATAATTCAGGTGTGGAAGCCAGCCTCCAAAATCGACTGCAGTGATCTTTGCCTCCTGTTATTCACACACCCTCAGGTAGGGCCCTCCCACACAGTACCAGGGCCAGCAGCACCTGTTGTGACTGTATCTACCAGGGAGCCTATGTGGCAAGGACTTTCATGAAGCCTCTAGCCAGTTGCCAGCCAGCCAGTGAGACCACGTGAGTGAGCATGGAGGTGGATCGTCTAGCCTCAGTCAAGTGTTCAGGGACTGCAGCCCTGAAGGGACCAACAGCCGGATCGTGTGTGTATTACGCTCTGAAAGGCTGTTAGCCACAACCACCTAGCAAAACTCTTCCGGGATTTCTGATTCTTAGAAACTGTGTGAGATAATAAATATTAGTTGTTTTAAACCATTGTATGTGGGGGTAATCTGTTACACAGCACGAGATAAGGAATATACCCAACACAATGAAATAGCTTTACCATTTCCAGGGCACCTCTGATAATCCCACAGAGTAAATTGCAGTAGCACAGAGACGATCGCCCGGCAGGGAGCTCTTCCACAAACTCCACCAGAGGATTCTTGTCTAAGATCAGGGAAAATTCAGTTCTGCTTGGATTGTTACAGGTCACACTTGGTGTAATTCCCAGGTACATCTTAAAGGCAACCTAATAAAAAGGGGGGGGAAAATCTGCTAAAAAACTTGGTCTGGAACAAGTATCTATTATTAGCAAAGCACCCAGATATTCTGTTCCAGGCAGTGCAGCACAATGGTTAAGCATGTGGAGTTTGTAGTCAGCCAGTGTGGGCTCACACTCAGCTTTGGCATGTACCCACCCTATGACCTGTACAAGTCTTAAAGAGTTTTATTTTTATGGGATATCCTAAGGGACTAGTTTTCTGTGGAAGCAATATGCTTTATGAAGCAGAGTTAAGCATTATTTCTCAAAAAATCTTTTTAAAAATAAATATCCTTCAGGAGGGTAAGAAATTAAAATATCAGTCATCAACATCCCAGCATGATAGGTGTCATGTGAGCCTAGTAAAGGGTAGGATCCTGAATGAGAAGGGACGCAAGACATATCCACCACAATGGGAAGGTGATAGAGTAGAGGGTGCTGCTGGACAATCAGACTCAAGGGTGTGCTTTGGAAAGTGGAGGAAGTCATATCACAAAGGATGACTAGTCTCTGAGAAGGAGCAAGGGATAGTGGTGGTATGATTTACATAAATGAGTCATAAAGTAACTTCTGAAAAAAGTCTGCTGTATTGAAGGGCTTACAGATTTTTACCATGTTGAGATGGAGAAAATCTTGGAGACTATTTCTTTTATACCTCTAGTTTCATAAATGAGCAGGTTGCGATTCAGAGAAGTCAAATGACATGGCCAAGCCCATGCTATTGCTCAGTCCCTTGACTTCTGGGCCAAGGAACTTTCTTTTCACCAAATGCACTGGAATTTGAAGTTTATTATTGGAAACTTGTGAGCTTGTTTTTCTTTTTCTTTTTTTTTTTTCAACGTTTTTATTTATTTATGGGACAGACAGAGAATGAACGGGGGAGGGGCAGAGAGAGAGGGAGACACAGAATCGGAAACAGGCTCCAGGCTCCGAGCCATCAGCCCAGAGCCTGACGCGGGGCTCGAACTCACGTACCGTGAGATCGTGACCTGGCTGAAGTCGGACGCTTAACCGACTGCGCCACCCAGGCGCTCCGTGAGCTTGTCTTTCAAGTGTCTTAATTATTTAATTTTTTAAAAAGGTTTATTTATATATTTTGAGACAGAGAGCATTAGCAGGAGAGGGGTAGAGAGAGAGGGAGAGAGAGAATCCCAAGCAGGCTCTATACTGTTATCATACAGCCCCACCATGGGGCTCGATCCCACAAACGGTGAGATCATGACCCGAGCTGAGATCAAGAGTCAGACGCTTAACCAATTGAGCCACCCAGGTGCCCCAATTAATTTAATTTTTAAAATTAAGAGCAGTATAGGACAGAAATGGAAACAATTTTCTTAAATTATTTATAGTTAGAAGTCCTGAAAGGTTCATCATTCATTCAATAGGTACTCACTGAACACTGCATTTCTAGCACACAATGCGAGTTCAGTAACTATTTGAAAAACAAATTATTAAATGAGCATCCATTCTGTGTTTGAGACCATGTTTAGGCCCAGAACACAAAAGTTCATAAATATACTTCCTATTTTATAAGAGCTCATAGTAAAAAGGTATTAAAAAAACTGCAATGGTGTAAGTCCTGCAAGTACAGTGTTCTGTATTAGGAAGCAATCCTGCAAATACTCACAGAGAAGGAAACTGCTATTCTGTTCATGAATATTGAGTGAGAATTTGCCAGGTGGACAGGGTGGGAGTGGGAGGTGTTCTAGGTGGAGGAAACATGTCATGGGCAGGAAATACCATGATCAAGTTCAGGGCAGACTGGTATTTATCAGTTGTGGGTAGCATAAAGCCCCGAAGGTGTGAGTAGGTTAGGACAGAATTGAATTTCCATTTGAAGGATCTCCTTTGTGTGAGCTTGGAGGATGGATTTGGGTTGAGGGTAGGGTTGGGCAGGAGGTCAAAGGCAGAGATAGTAATCAAGAGGTTACTAGGAAAGAAATGATGAGGACCTTCTCATTTTGTCTTTCATTGAAAACTCAAATGCTCCCTAAACTTTTCCATAGAAATTTTAGGTAGCCCAAATCCTAAAATTTGGCTCAAATCTCTGACACTAGTCAGTTTAAGAGGACACAAAAAAATGAATCTTTCAGATCTTAAGGCAAAGTAGCAAAAGTAGCAGTCTTAAGTAACAAGGGAAAAATCATCATGAGACTCCTGGCCTGGAGACTAGATTTGGCTCTCAGTGAATTGGCTGAGACCCATTTCTGCTAATGTTGATTCCTCCGGCTGGAAAATTCCTAGACCATTATTTATAGGATTGAGAATCTGAAAAAAATTCTGATTCTCAATCCAAGCCATATGAAAATAACATAAAATGGAAGCTGTGCACTCTGAATGTACTCAGATTCTCAGTGTTTGGGCCCTGATTCTGTGGCACAAAATTCACCAGTAGGAGGCGTTATCTGAGCATGGTTGGGAAATACTCATTCCTAGGCAATGACATTGTTTCCTTATCTGGCTGAATTCAGTCTGAGAAGGAGGACTGTTGTTTCTAATGAAGAAGGAGCTCCACCCTCGGCCACTGCCGCAGCTGCTCTGCCAATAAATAAGGGCAAAGCATTTTCCCTTTGTGTATCTTCAACATGGATGCTTTTCAGGGGATTTTAAAATTCTTCCTCAACCAGAAAACTGTTATTGGCTACAGCTTCATGGCTCTGCTGACCGTGGGGAGCGAGCGTCTCTTTTCACTGGTGGCTTTTAAGTGTCCCTGCAGCACTGAGAATGTGGTCTATGGGCTGGTTTTCCTGTTTGCTCCTGCTTGGGTGTTACTGATCCTGGGATTCTTTCTGAACAGCAAGGCGATGAGGCTCTTCACAGGCTGCTGTGTGAATCCCAGGAAAATCTTCCCCAAAGGTCACAGCTGCCACTTTTTCTATGTCCTCGGCCAGATCACTCTGAGTTCATTGGTGGCTCCAATGATGTGGCTTTCTGTGGCTCTGCTCAATGGGACTTTTTATGAATGTGCCATGAGCGGGACCAAAAGTTCAAGACTCCTGGGACTGATTTGCAAGGGCAAGCCCCAGGAATGCTGGGATGAACTTTACAAAGTGTCTTGTGGCAAAACCAGCATGGCCCCCACGGACAACGAAGAACTGAAACTGTCCCTGCAAGCCCAGTCTCAGGTAAGAAAGGACAAACTTGCCTTTTTCTCCCTGCGCAAAGTATTCTGTCTGTACTCACTTCCAGCAGAGCTGAGTCTGAATCTTGTTAGAACATTTTGAAACCAAATGGAAATTGGAACATCATGCAGCATTAAGACAATCTCAGGGAAAGCTTTTTAGAGGTTGGTGGCTCCCTAAAATTGCTGATTGCATCGTCTTTTCCACTTCCAAAAAGAAAATATCCTCTGGGTTATGCGTATGTAAATACTTAAGTGCTTTAAAACAATCTCTCCGGGTTGACTTTGTAAATAATGCATGACGCTAACTCATAATTGAGCGTTAATGACAGAGCTGTAATTAGAAATTACTGCCTTCTATCAATTATTTTCAAACTGGTTTCTCAGAAAAACATACATAGCATTCATCTATTAAAATATAGCTGAACCAAATGAACTCTTATTTTTCAAAGCTGCACGTAATATAATTAGTGTAGAGATTCCCTCAAGTGATTTCTGGCAACTGTTATCTCTGCGTATAAATATTGTCAAGATTGAGAAAGATTTCCTGTCCAAAATGGGAGGTGGCAGTCTTTAAATAGCCTTCAGTGAAAAGTGACGGTATTCTCTAGGGAGGTTAGGTCTTCTGCTCTTTGCACTCTACAGGCTTTATTTAATAGAAGGAAATTGTAGCTTTACCTAATTGACACAGGGAAGTGCTTGTCATCCGTCCAGGTACATGAGCACAAATCCAGATGTGGAGCCTTGCCCTGGCCTCAGGAAAAGACTGAATTCCTACTTGGGAGTAGTAGGATTATGTTCCCCAAACCAAAACAACAAATAAGAGTACATAAACAGATCCACAATTTGTCAGGAATGCTATTTGTTTCAGAATAAAGGCGCTCAAAATGGTATATTTTTACTTTTTCAACAAAGACGTGCCTTTTCAACAACACATCAAGGCAGTCTGGTTTTACAATCATACTTTCCAAAGCTGGTTGGCTGTATAGTCACACGGTACTTTTTTCATAGATAAGCTTCAAAAATGCCCCACAACAAAATCTTTTGTTTAATGCATAAAGCTCATCTTAGATAAAAACATTCCAGGATCCCAAATGTCTTCCTTCTTTTGTTGAAGGAAGGTACTAATTACAAATGTAATGATACAATGAGCGATTTATGATTTATGTCCTCAGGCACCAGGCTCTATTCAGTTCATGCCAGATCCAAACACTTATCACTGTGTGAGCTTTTCTTCTCTAAACACAGGCATAAGGAATTATGAATATCCTGTCATAGCTTATCCTGGGCACACTACGTGTTTACTTTTCAGCAGAATGAGAAAGACCCGGGGCTGATTTCTAGGGGAGGATGCACACAGGATGTAGACAAGGGGAGCTATATCAATGACAGCTGCTGACCACAGTGGTTCAGCCAGGCAGGAGCAACAGGGAATCCAGACCAATAGTTGCATATGTGGGTGGGGGTGGAAAAAGTTCCCTATCCATGGGGGGGGGGGGGGTGCAAAGAAGAGATCCAGCTGGATTTCTAACTTATATTCTTAAGGCAGTTAGAGTGGACAAGTGGCAAGAGCTTGGTCTTAGAGTTGGCTAGCCTTGGGTTTGAATCCTGACTCCACCACTTACCAGCTCTGTGACCCAGAACTAATGGTTTCACCCCTCTGAGCCCCAGTTTGCTCATAGTTGGGAGTAATAACACCTACCTTGGAGGGCTGCTGAAAGGTGTAGAGATGAAGGACACAAATGGGCATAAAGCTGTTGACTCACAGTAAGTGTTCTAAATTAATGAGAAAACTGCCAGGGTTTGAGAGAGGAGACTCATGAAGAATGGAACATATTGAGGGCTGGTGTGAGAGCATCCACCATGT